AGTAGGCCTTAGACAAGGATGTGTGATGTCACCGTGGTTGTTTAATATATTTATAGATGGGTTGTAAGAGAAGTAAATGCGAGGGTCTTGGCAAGAGGCGTGGAGTTAAAAGATAAAGAATCACACACAAAGTGGGAGTTGTCACAGCTGCTCTCTGCTGATGACACTGTGCTCTTGGGAGATTCTGAAGAGAAGTTGCAGAGATTGGTGGATGAATTTGGTAGGGTGTGCAAAAGAAGAAAATTAAAGGTGAATACAGGAAAGAGTAAGGTTATGAGGATAACAAAAAGATTAGGTGATGAAAGATTGAATATCAGATTGGAGGGAGAGAGTATGGAGGAGGTGAACGTATTGCAGATATTTGGGAGTGGACGTGTCAGCGGATGGGTCTATGAAAGATGAGGTGAATCATAGAATTGATGAGGGAAAAAGAGTGAGTGGTGCACTTAGGAGTCTGTGGAGACAAAGAACTTTGTCCTTGGAGGCAAAGAGGGGAATGTATGAGAGTATAGTTTTACAAACGCTCTTATATGGGTGTGAAGCGTGGGTGATGAATGTTGCAGCGAGGAGAAGGCTGGAGGCAGTGGAGATGTCGTGTCTGAGGGCAATGTGTGGTGTGAATATAATGCAGAGAATTCGTAGTTTGGAAGTTAGGAGGAGGTGCGGGATTACCAAAACTGTTGTCCAGAGGGCTGAGGAAGGGTTGTTGAGGTGGTTTGGACATGTAGAGAGAATGGAGCGAAACAGAATGACTTCAAGAGTGTATCAGTCTGTAGTGGAAGGAAGGCGGGGTAGGGGTCGGCCTAGGAAAGGTTGGAGGGAGGGGTAAAGGAGGTTTTGTGTGCGAGGGGCTTGGACTTCCAGCAGGCATGCATGAGCGTGTTTGATAGGAGTGAATGGAGACAAATGGTTTTTAATACTTGACGTGCTGTTGGAGTGTGAGCAAAGTAACATTTATGAAGGGATTCAGGGAAACCGGCAGGCCGGACTTGAGTCCTGGAGATTGGAAGTACAGTGCCTGCACTCTGAAGGAGGGGTGTTAATGTTGCAGTTTAAAAACTGTAGTGTGAAGCACCCTTCTGGCAAGACAGTGATGGAGTGAATGATGGTGAAAGTTTTTCTTTTTCGGGCCACCCTGCCTTGGTGGGAATCGGCCAGTGTGAGAAAAAAAAAATAAATATATATATATATATATATATATATATATATATATATATATATATATATATATATATATATATATATATATATATATATTTAAAGACAAAATACATTAAAAATACAATAGGACCTCCATACCTGGGGTTCCCGCTGAGCTGGACAACGGGCTGTGGCAAGACTTTTCTTTATGATGTTGACCTCATTTCTAGCATACATCCTTTCTGATGTATGACAAATGAGACCATGAAGACTGAACTGATCAGCCGATGCCCTGTCGCAAATACACCTATGTTCAGTGAGTACGGGGGCGGCTAGGCGAAGAGCAACACCAATCCGAATGGCCTGTGGGTCGCGTCGGGTGCCCAGGGAGGAGTTGGGAACGAATAAAGAAAATCTCCTGAGTATGGTGCTTTCACAGCTAGCAGACGAGCTTTGTCCTTTCCTGAAGCGTTGTTGAGCATTGTGGTTTGCAATTTTTTCCATGATGGGTTTGTCCCAGTGGGACTGTTTGTGCTCTTTTGGTTGAGCTGATCTGCTGGAGGTGTCTGCAAGGGTGTCCCACAGCGTGGCTGCTTCAGTAAACCTGGGGTCTTGAGCTCCTACCACACCTCCTACATAAAAATTACTATGTTGGCTTTTAAATAGCAACACACTTCTTGCCTAAGAGGGCAAGCTACAATATGTATATGCAATAATTTCGCAAAAAACATTCCGGACCTAACAAAAAAAATATATTTCATTGTGTTTGTTTATTATTAAATTATTATACGCTAATTTAAAATATTTTACTTAGATTAGGCTAAATAAAATTGCGCTTGTTATAATAAGGTTAGGTGGGGTTTTCTAAGGTGCTTTTGGTACAAAATTATTAATTTTTACATTAACAAATGAAAAAAATATGATTTTAAACGTATAAGAGAAAATTTTAGAAAGAACTTAATTTTAAATAAGTTCTTGCTAATTGACCAGTTTTACCTATTCGGCACGACATATATGTAAATACACGTACATACTGACATCTGTATGGCGTAATACATGTAAGTTTAAACTACATACCTTTATCACATGCAACTTCTGTTAAACGACGTTATCCATCGACAAAATTGGTGGAAACAAAATTCATTTGGGTGCAAACCCTTCTTTACTGTCAACGAAGATGGCTCGCAATCCCCAGTATCGTACATAGCTGTTTATCAAGATAAAGTAATCCATGGGATGAGGACACCATTGCCAGGAACCCTCCTAGGGCGGGGAGGTGCCAGAGCATACTACCACCTGTAGGTCACCAGACTGCCATTCCCACGAACCCCCCTTGGGCGGGGGTCTAGCTTTTCCCTACGAACCCCGTGAGGGCGGGGAATGGGGCTAGGCCTGGGGACAGCTGGTCCTAGAAGATGTGGAGATACTTGTACCTACTCCCGTGGCAGACATGAATCACAGACACTCCCAAGACTGGGAGCCAAGGCCGGGTCACCATCTGGAAAAGACCCAGGCCGGGAGAGTACCGGCGAATCAAGATGAGGAAGAAGAAGTAATCCATGGACATTTAGTAGAGTCGGCCAACATTTTCTCACCAGAATTATTTATAAATCTCATCGCTTTCAAACACATCGCAAAGTCCGCCTCGTTATGTGTTGTTTTTATCGCCTCCTGAGTGCATTACAAATATCCTTGACTTCGACTCTAAATATTTTCATCGTTCTTTGTACACACTCTTGGTTGTATCGCATTGCTAGAAAGCACAATGAAGTTATTTTTTGTTAGGTTCCTGAAAACGCTAATGTTTAATGCAATGAATATACAGACTGAGCCACTCGGTAAGCAATTCATGAACTGCCAGTCCTCCTCGGGACGGTGTTCCTTCGTTGAACAATTTTCCCGTTCTTTTTTCATATTTTCAAAACTACTGGGAACAACGTTGCCATGAGTTACAACACACTGTTAAAATAACAAGTGTTTTTTTTTATCAGACAACTACTAGGCGTGTTATCTTCCCACTGCTGTAGGATACAGAACACTGAACTTTCACTCTGACGAAAGGAACATACGTGATTCACACACTGTGGAGATGTGCCAGGCATCTCTCTGTTTTCTCAAAGAAATCATGCTAAATTCACATTGGACATCTGTAACTCCCTGATACACTTTCTCTTAGTGACCTCCTCACTAAAGTCCAACCTTTAACTCAGAATCACTCCTTGACTTTTGTGATGTAAATTAATGCACTGCACAAACTTTGACTAACCTTCACCAACCAATACTCATTACACGACTACTCAGAGCGCTGAATGATCCATTCAAGCTTAGCACATATTTTTGTTATTTTTATTATTATTCTTATTCTTATTATTATTATTATTATTATTATTATTATTATTATTAAAATTAAAAAAAATATCACTCAGAGTTTCAGAATGGGCTGAAAACAGCAGCGAATGTAGATACTCATAACCTTATCGAGGTACAGGGTAGACCGCTTGCTGGCTTACCAATAGGAGTCATTAACAGGAATGACAAGGTAAATATTACTCTGGAGACATCAAAATTCAACAGGAATGATATTCATCAACGATTTGTAGCATCGGTAAACAAAAGTTTATCGAGCATTGCATAAAATTCATGACAGATTTAGATTTTGACATAGGAGTGGCTAGTTCCTTGTCTACTTAACATTCATCCCTGGACGGTATGCACTAAAAGCCTAAGAGCTAAGCCTAAAAGAGTAAATTGATGTAAATGTTATGTGTTTACGAAATATGCTCTATCTCTAACTAGCAAATTATGAATATTTGCTCAATATGTCTGGAAATCCTATTTTTGGACATAACACCTAGGTACTCTACTATCTCTATATTCCTCAATACTAGGATAATCAAACAATAGTTTACAAAAGTTACTATAATTTTGACTATATGCCTTACATTTAGTTAGATCATCGATTGCGTATAAGCAAAAAAAGCTACAAAAGCTGGTATTAAATTTCTCGCTCCAAATTGATATTCATATAGAGTTATAGATCTGCTCTACTTTCCTTCTTCATTTCTATAACATTCGGATTCACATTTATTTTTTACTTGATACTATCCGCATTTCTTTTGTTTGATACAGATTAATCTTACACATTCACGGTCTAACTTTAAATTACTTTCTTTGGCAAATGAATCACATTCATCTAGAAAAAAACTTTTCAAAGTGAGATTAAATTTACAGAAATTGTGCACTAATGCATTTATTTTATACATTGCAAATAAATATACAAAGGTGACTTCTCCAGTGAGGATGTTGCTGGAGTCAGTATGTGTGTCAGGTATTCACGGTAATGACATAAAATCAGTAATGATCAAGGAAACGAGCTCATTGTCGAAAATTTACTCTGGTATCATTATTATAACAAACACTTCGTTTTGTAATGTTGAAGTCCACTTGTTAATTGACATATCTAACTCATCATGACTGCAAAAACTTTTTATTAGGGAAAGGAGAGGGTAGAGGCAGACACGATGGATTAATAACGTGAAGTAGAAGCAAGTCTGCGACGAGACATGTCTTAACTGTTATCTTTATTGATGTTTCGGATCTTTCTTTATCCATCATCAGAATCAATAATGTTCATACTAAAAGGAAGTAAATAATGACAATAAAGGTAAATAAACCTATGCAAAGAAATTAGATATTAACTAAACGTGTTTCTCGTTGCAGTCTTTGTCCTGCTTTTTAAAATGAATATTCATTTCTCACGTGGAACCTTAGTTGCTAATGTAATTTTTTTTAAGATTTATAATATTTAATTATTTTACTTTACGTAGCCAAACTTAACATGTGTGTTTTCTCTTAACCAGACACTCAGACTCAGGCAACTACTCGTGCATCCCACCCAACGTTGAGGCAGCTTATGTCTTGGTCTATGTTACTGAGAGTAAGTACTCAAGACAGAGAGAGAGAGAGAGAGAGAGAGAGAGAGAGAGAGAGAGAGGAGAGAGAGAGAGAGAGAGAGAGAGAGAGAGAGAGAGAGAGAGAGAGAGAGAGAGAGAGTGAGTGAGTTTGCTTAACTATTTGTGCTCACCTATTTGTGGTTGCAGGAGTCGAATCACAGCTCCGATCCTCACTTCCTCGCTAGTCACTACTAGGTCCACTCTTTCCCTGTTCTGAAAGCTTTATTGTACCTTTTCTTAAAGCTATGTATGGCTCCTGCCTCCACTACTTCATTCTCCAGACTGTTCCACTACCGACAACTCTAAGGCTGAAGAAATACCTCCTAACATTCCTATGACTCATTTGAGTTCTTAGCTTCCAGTTGATTTCCCACGTTGTTGTGTTCCATCTCTTCTCTGGAACACTCTGATCGTCTCCACCCTGTGTTTGTGTGTGTGTGTACTCACCTAGTTGTACTCACCTAGTTAAGGCTGCAGGGGTCGAGTCCAAGCTCCTGGCCTCGCCTCTTCACTGATCGCTACTAGGTCACTCTCCCTGAACCGTGAGCTTTATCATACCTCTGCTTAAAGCTATGTATGGATCCTGCCTCCACTACATCGCTTCCTAAACTATTCCACTTACTGACTACTCTGTGGCTGAAGAAATACTTCCTAACATCCCTGTGATTCATCTGTGTCTTCAACTTCCAACTGTGTCCCCTTGCTGCTGTGTCCAATCTCTGGAACATCCTGTCTTCGTCCATCATGCCTACTCCTCTCAGTATTTTGTATGTCGTTATCATGTTCCCCCTATCTCTCCTGTCCTCCAGTGTCGTCAGGTTGATTTTCCTTAACCTCTCCTCGTAGGACATACCTCTTAGCTCTGGGACTAGTCTTGTTGCAAACCTCTGCACTTTCTCTAGTTTCTTTACGTGCTTGGCTAGGTGTGGGTTCCAAACTGGTGCCGCATACTCCAATATGGGCCTAAGGTACACGGTGTACAGGGTCTTGAACGATTCCTTATTAAGATGTCGGAATGCTCTTCTGAGGTTTGCTAGGCGCCCATATGATGCAGCTGTTATTTGGTTGATGTGCTCTTCAGGAGATGTGCCTGGTGTTATACTCACCGCAAGATCTTTTTCCTTGAGTGAGGTTTGTAGTCTCTGGCCCCCTAGACTGTACTCCGTCTGCGGTCTTCTTTGCCCTTCCCCAATCTTCATGACTTAGCACTTGGTGGGGTTGAACTCCAGGAGCCAATTGCTGGACCAGGTCTGCAGCCTGTCCAGATCCCTTTTAGTTCTGCCTGGTCTTCGATCGAGTGAATTCTTCGTATCAACTTCACGTCATCTGCAAACAGGGACACCTCAGAGTCTATTCCTTCCGTCGTGTCATTCACAAATACCAGAAACAGCACTGGTCCTAGGACTGACCCCTGTGGGACCCCGCTCGTCACAGGTGCCCACTCTGACACCTCGCCAAGTTCTATGACTCGCTGCTGTCTTCCTGACAAGTATTCCCTGATCCATTGTAGTGCCTTCCCTGTTACCCCTGCTTGGTCCTCCAGTTTTTGCACCAATCTCTTGTGTGGAACTGTGTCAAACGTCTTCTTGCAGTCCAAGAATATGCAATCCACCCACACCTCTCTCTCTTGTCTTACTGCTGTCATCATGTCATAGAACTCCAGTAGGTTTGTGACACAGGATTTCCCATCCCTGAAGCCATGTTGGCTGCTGTTGATGAGATCTTTCTAGGTGTTCCACCACTCTTCTCCTGATAATCTTCTCCATGATTTTGCATACTATACATGTCAGTGACACTGGTCTGTAGTTTAGTGCTTCATGTCTGTCTTTTTTTTTTAAAGATTGGGACTACATTTGCTGTCTTCCATGCCTCAGGCAATCTCCCTGTTTCGATAGATGTATTGAATATTGTTGTTAGGGGTACACATAGCGCCTCTGCTCCCTCTCTCAGGACCCATGGGGAGATGTTGTCTTGCCCCGTTGCCTTTGAGGAATCTACCTCGCTCAGAAGCTTCTTCACTTCTTCCTCGGTTGTGTGCAATGTGTCCAGCACTTGGTGGTGTGCCCCACCTCTCCGTCTTTCTGGAGCCCCTTCTGTCTCCTCTGTGAACACTTCTTTGAATCTCTTGTTGAGTTCCTCACATACTTCACGGTCATTTCTTGTTGTCTCTCCTCCTTCCTTCCTTAGCCTGATTACCTGGTTCTTGACTGTTACTTTCTTCCTGATGTGGCTGTATAACAGTTTTGGGTCAGATTTGGCTTTCGTTGCTATGTCGTTTTCATATTGTCTTTGGGCCTCCCTACTGATCTGTGCATATTCGTTTCTGGCTCTACGACTGCTCTCCTTATTCTCCTGGGTCCTTTGCCTTCTATATTTCTTCCATTCCCTAGCACACTTGGTTTTTGCCTCCCTGCACCTTTGGGTGAACCATGGGCTCATCCTGGCTTTTTCATTATTCCTGTTACCCTTGGGTACAAACTTCTCCTGAGCCTCCTTGCATATTGTTGCTACATATTCCATCATCTCATTAACTGGCTTCCCTGCCAGTTCTCTGTTCCACTGAACCCCGTTCAGGAAGTTCCTCAGTCCCCTTTCTTGTAGTTTGGCTTCATTCGTCCTGGCCTTCCTGCTTCTCCCTCCACTTATAGCTCTACTGTTTATTCGAAGCTTAAAACCACATGATCGCTGGCCCCAAGGGGTCTTTCATATGTGATGTCCTCGATATCTGCACTACTAAAGGTGAATACCAAGTCCAGCCTTGCTAGTTCATCCTCTCCTCTCTCTCTTGTAGTGTCCCTTACGTGTTGGTACATAAAGTTTTCCAGTACCACCTCCATCATCTTAGCCCTCCATGTATCTTGGTCCCCATGCAGCTCCAGGTTCTCCTAATCGATCTCCTTGTGGTTAAAGTCACCCATGATCAGGAGATTTGCCCTGTATGCATGAGCTCTTCTGGCCACTGCAGCCAGTGTGTCAACCATCGCTCTATTGCTCCCGTCGTACTCTTGCCTTGGCCTCCTGCTGTTCTGTGGTGGGTTATACATCACTGCTATTACCACCTTGGTACCTCCAGAGTGAAGCGTTTCCGCTATGCAATCACTTTCTTCTCCGCTGTCTCCTCTCTCCAGCTCATCAAAATTCCATCGGTTTTTGATCAGCAATGCCACTCCTCCACCCCCCCTGTTCCTTCTGTCTTTCCTCAGGATCTGGTATCCCGTTGGAAAGATGGCATCTGTTATCATACCTGTAAGCTTGGTTTCTGTGAGAGCTATGATGTCTGGTGATGCCTCTTTGACTCTTTCGTGCCACTCCTCCCACTTATTTGTTATTCCATCAGCGTTTGTGTACCATACCTTCAGTTTCCTTTCCAACACTGTGGTTTGGGGGGCCTGTGAGGGTGGGAGATCTGGTAGCATACTGTGGGATTCTATAGCTGGGTGTTGGGTGGAAGCTGTGGGTATGGATTGTAGTGTGTGTTGGGATGGTGTGATAGGTTGTGGGGTTCTGAGAATAGTTGTGTGTGTGCTTGCCCTTGCTGCTCTGTTCTGCTCTGACTGACCTCTGCTGGTTCCATCCTTGTCTCCTTTCCTAGCTCCTATTGCTTTTTTGTCCTCTCCCTCAGCTGCTGTCGTTCTGTTTGTGTTCTCTCTCTAGGAACACCCTCTTGTACTCTTCCGAGTATTTCAACCGTGGTTTCTCTTGGAGGATCCTGTTCCACACTGTTTCCGTCCTGAGAATCAGCTTGATCGGTCGGTTTGTCCCCTTCTAGTAACCCCCTATTCTCTGAAAATTTACAATCTCGTCCATCTCTTCACCTATTTCAGTGAAGATTTTCTCAATCTCCTTTCTTTCTTCCTCCCGTCTTTCAGTGTGTGTCTTTCCTCTCTCTCCTGAAGCCCATGGATAAACACTGATTTTGCTCTTTCCTCCTCCCATTGCCTCACCCTCTGTGACTCTGGATCCTGCCTGTATGTGGTCATTTTCTCACTTGATTTTTCCAGTGGCTCTTGATAGCATGGTTGTGCCTCAGCATTCGACCTATCACCCTCTCCATCTGCACCCAGCTGTTCTTCCCTTTCACTCCTTGGCCCTTCTTGGCAGGCTGATATGACCTTAGCATAATTCATATCTCCTTCCTTCCTGTTCGGCCTCTCAGCTTCATATGCTGTGTCTTCTCTGGTCACTGCCCCTGTAACTCGCTTCAGCCTATTTATCTCAACTTCTAGGACCCTTATCCTGGCTACTGCAGTTTCGACTTGTGCCTCCCAATTCTTTGTCTCCTCCTCCAACCTCTTTTCCAATTTCACAGAGAGCTCTTTCTCCATTTTTTCAGAAAGCTCTCCTAATTTTCTCTCCCACTCTTGTTCCATCCTTTTCCACTGTTCCTACATCCACTCCTCCCTACCAGAACCATTCTCATCTGATCCATGGTTCCTGCGAGTCCCCACCATTTTTTTTTGTGAGAGAGAGAGAAGGAAAAGGTAGAAGGGGAGAGAGAAGAGGGAAAGGGGGAGAAAGAGTGTGAGAGAGAGGGGGAAAGAGAGAGAAGGGAAGGGTAGGAGAGGGGGAGAGTGAGAAGGGAAAATGGGGAAGAGATAGATAGATAGAGAGAGAGAGAGAGAGAGAGAGAGAGAGAGAGAAGGGGAGGTAGAAGGAGAGAGTGTGTGAGAGAGAGAGAGAAGGGAAGGTAGAAGGAGAGAGAGAGAGAGAGAGAGAGAGAAGGGAAGGTAGAAGGAGAGAGGGGAAGAATGAGATGGAAAAAGGGGGAGAGAAAGTGAGAGAGAGAGAAAGAGGGGAGAGAGAGAGAGAAGGAAAGGGTAGGAGAGGGGGAGAGTGAGAAGGGAAAATGGGGAAGAGAGAGAGCGGAGAGAGAGAGAGAGAGAGAGAGAGAGAGAGAGAGAGAGAGGAGAGAGAGGAGAGAGAGAGAGAGAGAGAGAGAGAGAGAGAGAAAGAGAAGGCAAAGAGAGGGGGAGAAGGGGGAAAG